TACAGACAAGATCATTAGCTCGACATTCAGCTTGTTTCACCTCAGTGATTACAATCTCTTCCCTATAACATTTATTCCTTTTCCTGTGGCTCCCCATTTACATCTTATATTTCATAAATTAACAAGGCAAAAATATTTGATGTACACTTACAAAACAGAAAAATATTCATTGAAATATCCAAAGGGTACATTCTACCAGCCAGTCTCCTGCCCACAGGCACACAGCATCTGTCTCTGCTGTCTTGCTGGTTTTCTAAGTAGGGATCTCACGTTCCATTCATGTTCTTCTTTCATCCATTCCATTTTATACAGGGTTGCAGAGTAAGAACCAATTAATAACAACCGGTCTACATTTAGCATTTGTACTGACACAATCAGTTTCTGTGATTATTTGATTGGTCTGATTCTGCTACTAGAATGGAAGTGGCTCTGGCCCATGGTACAAGTGTACTCAGATGTACCAAGCAGCTGAGTCACACCAAGCCTGTCTCCTTTCTCCTCCCTGTCTGCAGGCCACTACCGTCACAAGCAGAAATTATGCAAGTGTGACCTCTACTGACCAAAATAAGAAACTGCAGTTACATGCTCCCTGTGTCTCCTGTAGGTGCCATGGCGTGGGCTCCAACTCATAGCGACTCTATGCACAACAGAACGGAATATTGCCTGGTCCCGTACCATCCTCACAACTGTTGTTTGAGTCCATTGCTGCGGCCACTGTGTCAATCAATCTCACTGGGGTCTTCTTTTTAGCTGACCCTCCTCCACTTGACAAAGCATGATATCCTTCTCCAGGGACTGATCCCTTTTGAACAACATATCCAATGTAAGAGATAAAGTCTTGCCATCCTGGCTTCTAAGAAGCATTCAGCTGAACTTCTTCCAAGACAGATTTGTTTGTTCTTCTGGCATGCCATTGTATTTTCAATGTTCTTTCTTGAATACCATAATTAAATGTATCAATACTTCTAAGGTCTTCTTTATTCTCTGTCCAATTTTCACATGCATCTGAGGCAATTTAAAATACCATGACTTGAATCTGACACACGTTACTTCTCAAAGAGGTCTTGGGGAGCAGATTTGCCTCATGTAATCTGTCATTTGATTTTTTGACTGCTGCTTCCATAAGCATTGACTATGCATCCAACAAAATGAAGTGTTTGACAATTTCTATCTTTTCTCTACTTACATTGATGTTATTTATTGGCCCAGCTGTAAGGATTTTGTTTTCTTTACATTGAGGCTCAATCCATACTAAAGCCTGTGGTGCCTGTAGTCTATTTTAAGTCTTGTTTCTAGCAAGTAAGATTCTACCATCTGCATATCACAGGTTGTAAATGAGTCTTCCTCAAATCCTGATGCCATGTTCTTCACATAATCCAGCTTTTTCGATTATTTGTTCAGCATACAGATTGAATACATATGAAAGAATACACCTCTGTTGATTTTAAACCATTCAGTGTCCCCTTGTTCTGTTTTAATGATTACCTCTTGGTTTATGTACAGGTTCCCCATGAGCACAATTAAGTGTTCTGGAACATGCATTGTTTGCAATGTTACCTATATAGTTTGTTACGTTTCATATAGTTCGAATGCCTTTGCATAGTCAATAAAGCACAAGTAGACATCAGTTGGGTATTCTCTGCTTTCATCTTAGATCAATCTGATATTAGCAATGATAGCCTAGTTTCACATCCTCTTTTGAATTTGTCTTGAATTTCTGGCAGTCCCCTGTCAATGTACTGCTGCAACCGCTTTTAAATTGTCTTCAGTAAGATTTTACTTGCATGTGAAATTAATATTGTTCGACGATTTTTGCATTTTGTTGGTTCACCTTTCGAATAGGCGCAAATATAGATCTCTTCCAATGGGTTGTCCAGGGAACTGTCTTCCAGATTTCTTGGCATAGATGAGTGAGTCCCTCCAGATTTCAATTTGTGAATTCCTAAGGCCTTGTTTTTCACCAATTCCTTCAGTGTAGTGTGGACTTCTTTCAGTACTATTGGTTCTTATCATATGCTTTCTGCATCAGTCAATATTTTGCCCACAGAACAACCCGAGGCTTGAATTTTTTCTTCAGTTCTTTCAGCTTGAGAACTGCAGTCTTTAGTCTTTTAAAGTCCGGGTCTTTGCATATTTCATTATACTTGAGTTTGTCTTCTCAATCTGCACTTTGAAATGTTGTTCAGCTCTTTGTCTCCCGCATTTCTTCTAGTCACTTTAGTTTCTCTACCTATGCTCAAGAACAGGTTTCCGAGTCTCTTTTGACATCCATTTTTTGTATTTTCTTTCCTTTTTAATGACCTTTTACTTTCTTAATGTATGCTGTTTTTGGTATCATCCTACAAGTCTTCTGGTCTGTGGTCATTAGTGTCTAGTGCATCAAATCTGTTCTTGAGATGGTCTGTAGATTCAGGTGGGATACATTCAAAGTCAGTCAGGCTCTCGTGGACTTTAGAAAATGTTTTCAGCTTCAACCTGAACTTCCATAAGAGCAATTGATGATGTGCTACACCTCTCCTTCTTCCGAGTTTTATAGTCTGGAAGCTCTGCTGAAACCTGTCCACCATTGTTAGTTACCCTGCTGGTAGGATAAGCACTGGACCACAAGCTCAGTTTAAACCTCAAGGTCAGCAGTTCAAACCTACCAGCTGCTCCTAGGAACTGACCTGATGCAACCATTAACAGTATAGCTTCCAGCGTCACAGCAACAGATGAGCCATCACCACTGACAGAATGGTGGCTCCTTCCTCTTAGTGTAAGGAAATGACCAACAGGGGCAAAATCTGCTATCTGCCGCGCACTGGCAAGTTTCTCTGGGAAACAGTGCCGATGGTAATTAGCTTTAAATTGCTGAATGGACGCTCACAGATGGCTCTGGAAACTTCTCATTGGCACCCTCCCTCAAGTGGCCATACCCTACATATGCTTCTGCAGACACTTGACATCCATTTGTATTATGTACAGTTTACCCTCGAGGAAAATGAGGTGCAGAGATGGGAGCTGTCTGAGGCATCTCTGTCTCACCCTCGCTGTTCCCACAACACCTCGGGGAAGCCCCAGCCATGCAGCCACTTCCTACCTCTCTTCCCTTAGTCAATTCCTACGCAGAATTTAGGAGCCAGTTTGAATGTCAATTCTTCCAGGAAGTCTCCCTGGGATCCCCAGACAAGCTCCAGGCCTGCAAATACTACAGGGCTTTAAAAAAAAAATCATGGAAAAGTGGAACGGAAAGATAATGGCTAGTGGTCCTGTTTGTGGAGGCCCCCGGCGTGCAGGGACGATTGGGTCAGGCCTAAGCTGAGGCAGTTGGGCTGGGGTCCAATTCAAATCCCCAGTCAGTGGAGAAAGAGGGCTGGGACACTGACAGGAAGCAGGTGTCAGGAGCCACTGTAGACCTCTACGGCGTGCTGCTCACTCCCACCCCAGCCCCTCTCCATCAGTGACCCATCAGACATGAGCCCCACAGCTCAAGCTCCTTTTTATTAACCATCAGTACGTCTCCAAATTGTGCACAAACAGTACAAACAGTAAAAGATCCTGGCCGGGAGGACAGGGAGGACAGGTGAGGGGGTTTCCTGAGGTTAGGCGATTCCAGCTCCTTTTCCCAATTGGTCCAGTTCTGGGTGATGACTCCTGCCCTCCTGCAGCTGTGCCCCAAGAGGCTGGCACAGGGCAGGGAGGGGCAGTCCTGATGGGACAGGAAAGAAGGGAGGCCATCTGACCAGAGACTGGACAGATACCTAGCAGGCCTCCAACCAGCTCCACACCTTCTTAAAGGTTTAGGGCAGGATGCCAAGGAACTGCTGAACCTTCCAGGTGGAGGAAAGTTGACTTAGTACCTGGACAGCTGAGGGGCCAAAGTGAAGCAGGATGGGAATATGGAAGAGGAGAAGAGTGTCTCCCAGCCCCAGGTGGGCAACAATCTTGGTATGGCCTTATTGTGGGGGAAAGACTACTTTGTATCTCTCAGGAGGCTGATGTGAGAAGGTCTGGCACCCTCCTCAACTCACGTGAGCGGGAGCTGGAGCTACACAGAGAGCGGGTGTGGAGAAGCCACGCGGAGGTGGGGTTCAGGGGTGCAGCAAACAAAATCAAGATTGGATGGGAAACTTGTAGGCTGGAGCGGCTGGACTGACATGCTGACCCTGTCCATGACCACTGCCCTTGTTCTCAGGGCGATCAGGCTGGGGTTGGTCACAGGTAGGACGGAGGAGCAGTTACAGATGTCAGGGAGGTTTTCCCTGACCCTGGCCAGCCCAGCCTGTGTGCAGACTGAAGCCTTCAAGACTGGATGGAGGAACGTTAAGGTCTCAGCCTTCTCCATCTTCCACCCTTTGTGCCTCTGAAAAGAGGGGCCCATGTGGAATCCGAAAGAGCAGCAGACCCCTCACAGCACCATGGCACGGGATGGCCCTGGCTTCAGTGCTGGGCTGGCACCGTTTGTAAACATTAGACATGGTGATGTCCTGGGGCTGGAGGACAGGAATGCCTGCCTGGACCATCAAGTTTGGGGAAAGAGACTTAGAAAATGTCAGTTAGCCACGGGAAGGCCCAGCAGGAAGAGGAGGAGGCTGGAATGGACCCACCTCTGCAGCCCTGGAGCAGGCAGAGCCTGAGGGGAAAAGCAGGCCCCACTCAGGACAGGCTGCTCTGTGGACGGCAAATGGTCCTTGCTCATTGGCTTTCTCTAGAAAGGCGTTGGCCTGGGTCCTTTGTTCCAAGACCTACTGTCCTTTTTCACCCCTGGGTTCCAGGTGTGGAGAAGTCATGGGTTTGGAGAGGAAGACCTCTTCCCCACATCCATGGTACTAACTACCAAGACAGGAAGCAGGCAAGGAGCTGGGTTTGAGTTGTTCAGAGGTGTGGGCCCTGGGAGAGCGGGTCCAGATGCCATCCCACCTGTCTAGAAGCATTATACCAGACTCGATGTGTCCCTACTGCCCTACGAGATGTTCCCTGGGCCCAGTGGCAAAGGTGTTATCTTCTTTTGAAGGTAGTGGTTAGGCCACAAGGTCCACAAATATGGCGTTGGCTGTGGTCTGGCCGAAGATGAAGGCTCCCAAGGTGACCAGGAGGACTCCGTAACTGACCAGCATCCACCAGCTGTAAGGCAGAAGACAAGAGGCACCTGGTCAGTCATCCTATCCCACGACCCTGCAGATCCAACACCGCAGTTAGTTACTGTCAGTACTTCTGTTTGCAGAGCACTTCCTACTTCTCAAGGACTTTCCAGTGACATGTCAGTGAGCCGGGCACACTATCCCTCTTGCTAGATACTGTGGACTCATGGTAACCCCTTATGTGCAAAGTAAAACTGCTCTATAGGATGTGCAGATCAGCAGGCTTGTCTTATAGGCACCACTAGGTGAGTTCGAAGTGCCAAGCTTTTGGCTAGTAGTGGAGTACTACTTAACTTCTTGCGTCGCCCAGAAACGCTTAGGGTATTATCCCTAGTCTACAGACAGGTATGGAGACTCGGTACAGGGTTGCTATGGGTCTGAATCGACTTGACGGCACTAAACAACAACACAGGTATGGAGACCAAGACCTAATGGGATGAGGCAAGCAACCAAGGACAGGACCAGAGATAGAATGAAGGTCTCCTGATAGGAATCCATTCAAGTAAATGTGGGTCACATGGGGTAGAATCCATTTTGCTAATAAAAGGTAAAAAAGCAGACACCTGCAAGCATATATTCATCAAAATTCACAGTAAGGTTATAACTCAGTATTGGAAGTGTGATTCATATTTGCTGCTTTAAACTCAACTACTTTTCAAGTTTTTTACAAGAACAACTGTTAGGTAAATTTTTTTTTTCTTTTCCCCAAAGTGTGCAACATTCAGGGAATGTTCAGATTAAGACAAGGCAGTCTTTTCCACCCAGGAGACTAATGAGGCTGGAAAAGTCTGGTATGTGCCGTGCTGGCAAGAATGTGGGTGTTCTCATTCACTGCTGCTGCTTTTTCAGAGGCAAAAGGAAAATGAACAGGCTCTGTAACCCTGCCACTTCCATGTAGGGATCCATCTGACCAAGTCCTGGAGCACGTGTTCCAAGATGTGTAGGTACAAGATTCTTCACACTCAAAGCAGCGACACCAGAGATGGAGGCAGAGATGGTGACATGGAGAGAGGGAGCAGCTGAGGACTCTGGACTCATGGAAAGAGAGGGACTGGATGCTGGCAGCCAGAAGGCAGGCTTACAGAATGTGCCCTTGGGCTGTTTAAATTATTATATAGTCCTCAGTGTTTTTGTGTACATTCCTCTCCTCCCCTCACCAAAAAAAACCAAAAAAAAACACAACCCACACCCCAAAATAGGGGGAACGGAAGCAAATACTGTTGAATGATGATGCATGGAGGAGATTTCAATCACTGCAATGGAACGATGGTGTAAAGCGAATGTTCTCCCATATAAACTATTACTCAGTTCACAATAAAAACTTAAAAAAATCTTCACACTCAAGGCACATTTATTTATACAACAGACTAACCTGCAGCTATAAAAAAAGAAGTGCATCTATTTGCCCTGACACAGAACAATCTCCAAGATATAACGTGGAAAGAGTGGAAAAAAATAAGACACAAATTCAAATGGCTGAGTAGTGTGTCTGGCATGAATTCATTTTGGCAAAACCAAAACTAGACAAAACCCATATATATATATGCAGATTCATAGCTACGTGCACACAGAAATGTATGTACAGGCACAGAATGGTCTAGAAGGCTCCATCAAGGTCCTGAGATCAGAACTAAATGGTGGCCGGCTTCTACAGCTGACGGTTCTCAAAGGGCTCACAATAGGAGCCCCTGGACAGCAGTGGGAGGAAAATATGGAACAAAACTCAAAATCATAAAAAAGACCAGGCTGGTTGATTTGATAGAGATTAGTGGAATTCCCCAAAGATTATGGCTTGGAATTAAACTCACCTTCATGGCTTACTTTTCAGCCAAACATAGGCATAGAATAGGTGAACAATAACATCACCGATGTAGGCACTCCTGACAACAAATCAACCATACGTGACCAAAAGTTCAGCATTTGCCCAGGAATAAAGTTCACAGGGCAGGAAGGGGCAGGAAAATAGAAAAACGGAAATAACAAACAGCAAGGAAGTAAGAAGAGTGTTGTTGGACTGTCGGGATTGTAATCAATGTCACAAATCAAAATCTGTATGAATTGCTGAGTGGAAAGCCAATCTGCTCTATAAACTTTTGCCCAGATCACAATGAAAAATTTATTTTAAAGAGAATGTTCTAGAAAGACGCACATCAAATAATGACAGAGAGCTGTCTCTGGAGGAGGAATTTGCTGGGGAATGGGACTGGGTGGTGAGATGGCCTTTGACTTTTTTCTCGAAGTCCTTAAACAGTGTTTGAATGGTTACAGCTGGTTCACATTATGTATTATTGAAAAGTATAAAAAGATCATCTATTTTCAAAAAGTGTGCTAGTCTCCTGATTCCTACCTATTTTAAGGTCCCCCAAGGGCACCCCTGGTCTGCCTTCCAGAGAGGCCTGTGGTGGTGGTGGTGGGGAGGGGGCCTGCTTTACCTGGCTGGCTTGACTTCTTCCATCTCGGAGAGTTTGGCTTGAATGAGGCATAGACCTGGAAGAGAAGAGGTGGCCCTGAGAAACCTAGCTCGCCTCCGGCCCCATTTACTATGAGGCAGAGCTGGTGGAAGGTGAAAGGCCTGTTTACTCTTCTAGATACTCAGGCATCTCTGCTGCCAGGCACAGCCAGCTGGAGACCTGGCATCGCCCCTGCCCCCTCTTCTGGGAGTGACCAGCATCTGACCACAGGGGACCCTCCCAATATACTTCTTAGCAGATGCGGCCCCTTTGTACCAAGCAAAGTGGCAAGGTTTCATGGGTAGAAATGAGCTGGGTACAGACAGAGCTCACGGTCAGGTGACAAGAGACCCATGGTCCTGAACTAGCCCACCATTTCCCTGGGATCTGGTGGCAGACCTATGTCTGGGAGTCAGGTCTCCCAGCTTCTGCGTCTCTGCAGCCCGCTGGGCTGTAGTGGGCTGAACCAGGAGCAGCAGACACTTGCAGTCTCCTCACCAGTAAAGTGCTGACAACTAGCCCTTCTATAAGGAGGCAATGCTTGGGCAGGGGCTGAGGCTGGGGAAGCCTCAGGGGATCCAGGGCCCGCACCTGGGAAGACAAAGATGAAGCAGGCGGCCAGGCCTCCGATGACCGAGATGACCTTGCCGATGTCGGGAATGAAGAGCGCCAGTAGCAAGGTGAGCAGGAACCAGATGAAGGTCTGCAGCACCCGCCGCCGCCGCTCCCGCCCCACATCCTCTTCCAGCGGCATCCCCTGGTAGCGCAGCCACAAGCCCTCGACCACAGCCCTGTCCACACAGAGAGGGTGGACTCAGAGGTTCACACAGGCCAGACCCTCAGATGGCTAGATTGTGGGTCAAAGGCTAACAGCTGGACGAGATGGTGACTGTGAAGGGCTGGGTTCCTTGCTTCACCACAAGGGAATGGACACTATTCTTCTCCTTAAAGGGAAGGCTCTGGGGTCCTCAGGAGGCTCAGTGTCAACACTGATGCTCAGAGAAGGATCTGGACTAGAACTGACAGGATTCACTAAACATTCTGGTGACTGGGACAAAAGGAACGCCTGAGACCCAGGATCTCAGGGAGCAATCCTAAGCACTAACACACAGACCCTGTTCAAGGGACTCACAGGGAACCCCGAGGAACCCAGGGAACACGCTTCAGTGAGGTGGGAGGAGGCTCACCGTCCACAGAAGTGCAGGATGGGGTAGGAGGTGAGCACACTAAGGATGATGAAGGCTCGGGCAACAGCCACAGCCATGTCCTCTGAGGGGTAGGACAGGAGCACATCGGGGTCCACGGCAGCTCCAAAGGTCAGGAAGCCACAGATGCCTGAGGGCAGAGAGGAGGATGGGGGAGGGTCTGCAGCAGGAGACATCCCTGGCTTCCGCCCCCTTCCGGAAAGCTACCAGGCCACAATGCCATCTTTCTGATCCTCAACTTGCCATCCCTGCCTCAGCGCATCCCGCAGTTTCCTCTTCATCCAGGTCCTAGTTCCGGCGTCCTCCCCTCCGAGCATGGTTCCTGCGCTGTGGCCAACCTCCAACCACTCTCCCTACTGTCCTCTTTCTTCACAACTCTCACTGCTTTATGGTTTTTACTTGTTTACTGCCCATCTCCCTAACCAGAACACACACCCAGGAGAACAGGGACTTTGCGTCTCTTGCCCGTGGCTGTAGCTTCATAGGCAGCTCTGGGGGCAGACTGGGGAAGGATGCAGACCACAGAGACATTCTTCCGGGTCTCCTTTCTCATGCAAACCATTGTCCACACACCAACCAGCGCGGGACCACATCTCTGCTTAAAACTCTTCCTTCCTGGGTCCCAACCAGCCCAATAGGATTTGTCCCCCACTGCCTGTCTGACCTCACTGTCTGTCCCCAGCTCACTACTCTGCAGCCACATGGACCTTCTTGCTCTTCCTACCTCACTGGCTGCACATTTCTAGTTGCTCTGCCTGGAATGCTCTAGTTCAGGTCTTTATATTCTGGTTCCTTTTCATGATCTGTTGTTGTTGTGAGGTGCTACGGGGTTGGTACCGACTCATAGCGATCCTATGCACAACAGAACGAAACACTGCCCGGTCCTGGGCCAGCCTCACAATCGTTGCCATGCTTGAGTCCATTGATGCTGCCATTTTGCCAATCCATCCCGCTGGGGGTCTTCCTCTTTTTATCTGACCCTCCACCTTACCAAACATCCTTCTACAGCAACTGGTCCCTCCTGACAATATGTCCAAAGTATAAGAGACGAAGTTTGGCCATCCTGGTCTCTGAGGAACACTTTGGCTGCATTTTTTCCAATAGAGATCTGTTGGTTCTTTTGGCAGCCCATAGCACTTTCAATATTCTCTTCCAACACCATCACTCAAAAACATCAATTCTTCTATGGTCTTCCTTATTTACTGTCCAGCTTTTGCATGCATATGAGGTTATTGAAAATACCATGGCTTGGGTCAGGTGCACCTTAGTCCTCAAGCTGCCATCTTTGTTCTTCAACACTTTAAAAAGGTCTTGTACAGCAGATTTGCCAAATGCAATACATCATTTGATTTCTTGACTTCTGTTTCCATGAGTCTTGATCCAAGAAGAATGAAGTCTTTGACAACTTCAATCTTTTCTCCACTGAAAAGAATATTGTTTATTGGTCCCATGGTGAGGATTTTTGTTTTCTTCATGATTTGGGCCTCCTCAAATACTGCCTCCTCAGAGAGGGGCCTTCTGTGAGCCCCCTGTCCGAGCCTCCTCTGAGCCCCAGACTGCCCTATCTGGTCACGCTCACTGACACTGTGGTCTCTCCAATCTCTGGAACTCCTTACTGCATTGTGATTGCGCACGACTCTGTCCCCATTACACTACCTCCCACGAGGGCAGGACCAGGTCTGTCCTGTCTGCACTGCATTCCCCGTGCTGGGAAGGGCAGTGCTTACTAGGCAGCCGCTTGATCTCATCTTGGTGTAAGTAAGGCATTGGGAGCACTGGGCCAGGACCCGTGGGGAGCACTCCCCGCCTGGCCCTCAGGGGGTACTCACCAGTGCCCATGTACACAGCAAGCGCAATGACCATGGCGGCTGTCACCACCCCGCCCCACGTCTTCACATCCGGCCGCTGCATGCTGTTGAAGACGGGTACACTACTCACGTGGCACTGTCGGGGTGAAGGGTGTGGTCATGGTGGGAAACAGACCTCACCTTTCCAGAGGGAGGTACTTTGGGGACAAATCCCCCCCTTCTCCCCCAGGGACTATGAGCAGGTTCTGGGGCCCCTATTCCGCTCTTCTTCCTAGGTCTCCCCCTATGCTGCCTGGAATGTGGGTTCTATCCCGGAGTGAGCTTGTAACTGGCACCTGAAATCCGAAGCAGATGGTGGGCATGGCGTTGAACACGGCTACCCAGGACGCTGGCCTGTGGACACACACAGAGTGCTGCTGTCTGCAGAACCCCAGACCCACCCGCCTCACGCTCCACGCCTCACTCAGGCTGCCAGGGCCTCCAGCAGCATGAACACAACCGACCTACACATGCCTGGGAATCAGGAGAAGAGCCAGCTCCATGAACTGAGGGTCTGGGACTAAATCCCAGAATTCCTGGTTTCAAGGTTGGTTGTGCTTTTCTTGTTTATTCATTTCAAAAATCAACTTTTTTTTAAGGAACCAATCAGATTCATTCATGTAGGAGATGCAGGAGTTAGAGCCTGAGGAGGTGAAATGTTCAATGACACCCCAGCTGTCTCCATGTTGGTGGCCTGGGTTCTCCTTCTACTTCAAGTAAAGATATTAGCACCTCTTGCCTCCTTTCCACTGTGATAAGACCCCGTCCTGCCAAGCATTGGCGGAGCACCTGGGTGGCCTTGACACCTAACCCAGCACCAAATGTCTGCTAGGGGTCCCACTCACCTGGTCACAATGTCCCTGGGGCTCATCTCTTTATCTGGCCAGAAGTATTTGATGATGATGATGGCAGTGACGTACCAGGTGCCCACGACACTCAGGAAGCTGTCAGCAAGAAGAGCTTGATTACATTCCTCTCCCAGCCTCCCATTCTCTGGTTGGATCTCCAGGGCCAACCATGCTCAGCTCAAGTAACCACAAGTGCCTACTAGTCCATCAAATGCCTGAGAAAGAAGTTTTGGAGAGACATGCCACAGCTAGGGGGAAGTTAGACAGCCAACAGGAGAGCTGACATTTCAATAACTTCAAATGCATGTGATAGCTGGAGAGTGAAGAAGGAAGACCGTAGAAGAATTGATGCATTTGAGTTTCGGTGTTGGAGGTGTATACTGAGAGTACCATGGACTGCCAGAAGAACAAACAGATCTGTGTTGGAAGAAGTACAGCCAGAGTGCTCCTTGGAAGCCAGGATGGCCAGATTTCATGTCTTATACCTCAGACATATTATCAGGAGGGACGAGTCCCTGGAGAAGGGTATCATGTTTGGTATAGTGGAGGGTCAGAGAAAAAAGAGAAAGACCCCCAACGAGATGGATTGGCACAGTGGGCTCAGGCGTAGCAACAATTGTGAGGTTGGCACAGGACCGCACAGTATTTCATTCTGTTGTTCATAAGGTAGTTATGAGATGGTACTGACTCGATGGCACCTAACAACAACAATGTGAGATCAGGCAATATTTACCCGAAAGCAAAGATAAGAAGTTGGTAGGGTTGGAGAGTGGGGAAAGGGAAACTAGATTAATAGATATGGAACAACCAGAATGGACATAATGAGAATATTGACACATTGTGAAAAATGTAACTGGTATCACTGAACAATATGTACAGAAATTGTTAAAAGAGAACTTAATTTGTTGTTTAAACTTTCACTAGAAACAAAAATGAAAACAAAACAAACAACAAACCCTATGTAGTACAGTTCTATGCTGATACATATGGGTTCCTCAGGAGTCAGAACCAACACTGGTTGCGACTGAAATCCTGGTGAAGCACTGTAGGATAAACGCTGAACTGTTAACCACAAGGTTGGTGGTTCACACCCACTAAGTGATCTTCAGAAACCTCCTTGATGGCACTTAACCAACCAACCAGAATCAAGACTACGGCAAAGTTTCTTTCTTTCTTTTTCTTTTAAAAAGAAGTCAGCAGGAGGTCAAACTGGCATGTCCTGTACAATGGTGTGACTACCAAAGGACAGCATGAGGAACAGGACTTTCCTTATGATGGCCATGTGAGTTTCCACACATGATAAAATTTACAGAGTTGTATTGCAAAAATCAAGTTTTATATATGATCATTTTAAAAAGAAAAAAATTTAAGAGTTGATTTAAAAAAAAAAAACCCACCAAAATCCCATCTTCCCAAAGAGAAAAAAGGCTGTGTGTTGGCAGCCAGGAGGCAGGCTTGCAGGGTATACCCATTGGTTGTTTCAATGATTATACATTTATGAGTGTTTCTGTATACATCCTCCCCAAAACAAAACAAAACAAAACAAAACAAAACAGAGGGAATAGAAGCAAATACTGTCAAATGATGATGCATGGAGGAGATTATAATTGCAATGGAATGATGAGTGTAAAACCAATGATCCCTCATGCAAACTATCAATCAATTCACAATAAAAACTTAAAAAAAAAAAAAAATTCCCATCTTCCCAGAACAAGACAAGCTGCAGGCCAGCAGGCTGCCTGCAGTCTCTGGGTCATGGCCCAGACCTTCCTCGACAAGCCACCTAGAACCAGGACACCTCATACCTGAAGCACTCTCGCTTCCCCCCAGCAGCTCGTAATCAGATCTCTGTCAGTTGCTGACAGGGAAGCCTCCAAACCTGGCATATTTCTGGAAGCCAATCTCCCTGGGTATGGAGAGCGGCAGGATGAAGAGGAAGGCGGTGAGGCTGATAGTGAACTTGCGGTCCGTGTACCAGGGGCCTCCGCTGGCCCCCTCAGGCGCCTTTGTCATCACAGCTAGAACTGCAGAGAGGAAGGAACTGTCACACTAGGGTGCCATGGACGGGGGACATGTCCTGCCCTGTTGGGCCTCAGGATCCCCACCTGAGAGAGGATTTCCAGACTGAAGCTGGGCCCAGGCTGGGTTGTGGGCGGGTATTCAGTGCCCTGCCCCTCCAGCCAGTATGAATTAATAATCAAAGTAAGCACAGGCTTACTTGTGCTTAGCTACTAATCTGCAGTGAAATTTCACATTTTTTCTTCACATCAGATTCTACTTCTAGGTCTGGCTGGCACCTGTCTCTCTCCCAACCCCATAATACCTTGCTACAGAACGAAAGCTTTTCCTGAAATACAGTCCCCGAAAAGGAAGGAGTCCCAGTAAACAAGGTATGCATGGGCTTACTTGTGCTCACATAGAAATCCATGTGAAATGATTCACTAGTGGTTAGTAAGTACAACTAGGCCCATGCTTACCACCCCATGGCCCCCAGAGAGGAGATGGGCACTGAAGGGAAACCTCACTCTTGTCCTGTTGGTCCCCGATGATGATGAGGAAGGCGATGCAGGTGCCAAAGGTGTAGACAGCGATGGTCACCTCACACAGCACACCTGTCAGCTTGCCGCACACAGCCCACACCACCTCCTGGTAGGTCCTCTCGTTGCTGGCCTGGGAGCAGTAGGCCAGGATGACCAGGCCACTGATGATGAAAACCAGCATACCCTGCAGGCAGGGACAGAGGGTACGGGGTGTTGTCATGCCCAGAAGGCAAGGCCTGGCAGTAGAGGGCATCCCAGGCTTGGCCAACCTCCACGGTGGGCTTGGCAAATGGGCCTCCTTTCACACTGTACGTGTAATCTATTGCTGGAGGCTGCCTGGTTGAGATATTCTTTAAAGCTCAAATCTGTGGAAATGTTCAAACAGCTACAGACGGTGAGGTGTACGATGGACCCCTGCCAGCCCATCACCAAGCCTCAAAGCTGAGCACCCCATAATCAGTCTTGTTCTTGTCTACTCTTCCTCCCACTCTGGGTTATCTTGAAGCCAAGCAAACACCCTATCACTTCACCAGACAGTGTCTCAATATGTAATTCTAAATGACAGAGCCCCTTTAAAAATACTTAACTAACCACAGAATTACTATACCACCTAAAATAATTAAGTATGCTGCTAAGGCTCGCTCAGACTTTCCTGAAGGTTGGGACAGCCTGACTGAGCTCAGAGAAAAAAGTGCTAGGATAGATTAGTAATGCCTGCCATGTGGGAGGGTGGGGAAAGCAGCAGCAGGTGTGTCAGAGCCCAGACCCACCACCTGAACAGCACCGTCCCTCTCCACACAAGTGCCCTTACCATCTGCAGTGTGATGCCAGCTGCCACCCCTCCGGCAGTGCTGAAGGCTGCTGGGAAGTTGAGCAGTCCTGCCCCCAGGCAGGCGTTGACTACGATGAAGATGGCCCCAAGTGTGGAAGTGGTACCTCTGCTTGGTCCCTGAGGACAGGCCTCCCCGTCAACCTTGGGGGATGTGTCCACACAGGGACTCTGCAGTAGGCGGGCCCGTTCGCCAGCGTCTGCGCTCCAGCCCCACTCGCCAGGCTCGCTGTTGATGCTGGCCTGGGCCATGGCTCCGAGATTCGTCTGCCTGCAGGGTCTGTGGATTCTGCTCAAGTCACGACCACATCCCCTGGACAGTGGAGGGGACTGCAGAGCTCAGCCGTGGCTCTTTCCAACCTGGATGGAATGAAGGAAGAGACTACTGTTTTCCTGAGACGGGAAATGGAGGCACTTGGCTGGGATTCACATCCAGGTGTGCCTTTGTACAGAAGGGCACATGGGTGTCATAGTGTAGAGTGGCATAGACAGGAACAAGGCAGATACAAATCCTGCTCGCTTCAGGCAAGGTAAATAAATCTGGCAAATACAACATAAACATAAAAAGGAAGGGCGCTCATATGGGAGCACCAGCGAGAGGCCAGGCATCGGACCAGGTGTGTCCTGCACAGATCTCATCTCACTCAATCCTATGACAGCCTCGTGGTCATAAAGTTTAAGAGGTCAAATTGCTGACTGAGGATCACACACCAACAAATGGTTGAGCAAGATTCTGACCCAGGACAGGGGCCCAAGAGCAGCTGGCTTGATGAAGTGAGTCTGTTTCTGAGCATTACAGGCCAGAATACCTCCCTTTGTTCTAAAGGTTACATACTGTGCAGCTTTCCAGGTAATGTCTTCACAATGCAGGCCAATTCTCCCTCCTCTCTTACAGCACCGGGGACCCCTCTTAGAAGCTGGGCAGCTCTGCTCCCAGGCAGGCACTGACAGGGATAAAGACAACCCCAAGCATAAACATTGTACTTCCTCAACCATTATATGTGGGTCCATCCCCCTCTCTGCTAGTCAGGCTTCTGGGCCTCACTTTCTGGGTCACTGAGCTCTCCACAGAGCACCCTGAGGGTCCTGGCGCTGCTCATCCAGTGCCCTCTCAGCAGTCTCTCATGCTAGCATTCCAGGGCTCCAGGTCGGTCGGCTCTACTGGGCAGGCTCTGCTGCAAGGCTCTAAGTCTGAACATGAGTGTGCACTGTCATTATTAACTGCCCATGGTTACTATGCAATGAATGATCTCATTCAATCCTCACTGAGGAGGAAACAGTCCCTCAGAGGTGACACGCTCTGCCCTAGGTCACACGGTGGTCAGTGGTGGAGCTGGCCAGACTTGTTTAACCCTAGAGCATCCACGTGTATCTGCCCCACTCCTGGGCTGAAGATGGTACTTTTCACACAGCTGAAATCACTAACTGGCTTGCCATCCGATCCTCTTCACTCCCTTGATAAAGAGATGAGTTATAGCGTTTTCTTCGGCCTTGGGCCTCTCCCCCTTGGAAAATAGGAAGCATTTTCCTCTTCCAAGAACCCTGAGATGCTCTGACCATCAGTGCTCTCAAGGGTGAGGTTTAAGATGAAGGATAACCCCACATCAAGAGCAGCCCTGCTAAGTGAGAGGCTGTGGTCTCAGTCTCTGATTATAGACTTTGAAGTCAGAATCCTGACTCCTCAGGCAAGTCTGTTTGCCTTCTTAGACCTCTTTTCCTATCCTGGAAAATGGAAATAATAATAATGTGTCTCCCAGCCTACTCGTGCCGAGTACATTAGTATTGGCAAGGACTTAGCGCTCCATAATTGGTCATTGCTACTGTTACTTTTGCAAATGCCCCTTCCTGTGCTCCCCGCTCTCACCAGGCCTAAGCAAAACCCTGACACAAACCAAGACCTGGTGCCATTGGCACCAGGGCACTAGGGCAGCTAACGAGAGGAAAAGCAACACGAAAGGCAGGTTAAAAGGGCATGGGCCGAGTGGGCAGCAAGGAGTCAGAAATGGCCTTCCCCAGAGGTTGCTGTTGGATGGTTACCACACAGACCAGTGAAACCTGCTAAAGACTCCTTTTCCCCTAGTGTCCGTCCGCCTGAGACCAGAACCCACACTATCCACATGAAATGCGGGACTTTGCTCTTTCCTTGTCCCTCCCTGGTTTAGTCCATTAAGTAGAAAGAGATGGCCCCAACCACTACATCATGGCCAGCAGTTCTCCAGATGCCTTCAGCCCACTGGGGGTTTTGGATTACTAACCACACTTTGGTGTGATGCTGTAAGATAAGCACTGGACTGCTAAACCTCAAGGTTGGTGATTCAAACCCACCAACTGCTTCTTGGAAACCCTATACAGGGTTGCTATGAATCAGAACTGACTTGACGGCACTTCCACAAACAGACCCTTGGGTAGGCAGATGCTTCCTCTGGTTCTTCCCGATGGTAGATGAATAGAGTTGGGAACCCTACACTCATGGGAGGTAAAAAGGAAACTTAAGAGTGCTATCTTTATTGTTGTTGGTAAGCGTTGTTAAATTGGTTGCAACCCATAGCGACCCTGTACAGGGTTTGCAAGGAGCAGTTGGTGAGCTTGAACCCTCAACTTTGCAGTTTAAACTGACCATGCAGTCCAGCACATTAAACCACAGCACCACACTAGGACTCCAGCCATCTCTTACCAGGCTGGAGATCAAGGGACCCAGCTTGAGAGGAAACTGCAAATTCAGAATGGTCAGTCATATGCCACAGGGCTTCCTCTTATGTAACCTACAACCCAGCTAACCACTCAGCAAAAAACTAAAGCAGAACCAAGGGCAACGTTGTGAGGAGTGGTGGCAGTCTCAGCACTTCCAGCAGAGTTCCCGAGAGAGCCCTGAGAACGATGTTGCTGTAACCATCGGATCACCTCCTCTACCATTCTCATGTCACAGACACAGATGCCTAAACCAACAGGGTGATTGCAAAGCTTGGGCAGCCTCCTAACTCTCTCCCAGGCCTGTGTTATCTGCCCAGCCTCTGCTGTCACCCACAGACAGGGGACTTCAAAAAGTTTGTGGAAACATTAATTATCATTAAATTCCATTTCCCCATGACCTTTCAGAAGCCTTCTCATAAGAGCTCAGGCCAGGGTCCCTGTGGAGCTCAGAGGAAGGGGGCCCCATCTCTTGAAAACTAAACATTGGTTCAGGATCTTTTAACACATCTGCTCCCCGCCCCGCCGCCTGGCCCCATTGTTCAGTGGCAGTTTACCTGTCGTTTCCATTTGACTGACCTGTGGAGTCCCTTCTCCTCAGAGAACTGTGATCTAATTCTTCTCAGTTCACTCTCTGGCCCCGTTTTCTTCTTTGTCAAGACTTTGCCAAAAATCCGCTGTTAGCAGAGAAGAGAAGGTTGTTTTATAACTGGTTTCAGCCGAAGGTGAGGCGAACAAAACGACTCTGACTTTAGCTCATGGAATGGAAACAGGCCCGCGAAGGAGGATTGGACTAAGATCACAGAACCATAAGCCAAGAGATCAAGCCAGAACTGTGATTACTGCTGTAGGCCCCTATGATCTCAAACCGAGCGGGCATCCTCGGGGGTGCACTGCATTGAGAGTTGGGCTGAGCGAACACGGGACGAAGGGGCGGTTCCTGGATCTGAAGCGATTAGGGTGGACTACTGTGGGGTAAATTAGGGAGGGGCTCCAGGACTAGATAGATCCTGGGCCAGAACGAGGTGGAGACAGGCCGTGGGACTACGGTCGCCGGGGTCCGGGGCACTGCAGGAAGTAGGCTGAACTCTGCTGCGGTGGGAAGGCTCTGAAGATCCGGAAACCTACAGCTTCTATCCTCCATAGCCTCAACCCTCTTCCACCTACTCTTTACCACCTACCTAAGGTGCTTCATTCTGGAGCCGGCTGCGGAGACACGTGAGCACCAGTCACATGACCGCTCCGGCTAGAGCACGCCTTGAGGCCCGACGGGAGTTGTAGTTTTCCGCGGGTATCAACTCAGGCAACCAATAGCTACCGGAGTCTCCAACTCCATAGCATTCTTCTAGTCTCGCGCCCACTCTAGTCATGCTCATCCTGCTACTTTTAGTCTTGAATTCTTGTGCTGGACAAACCCTGCTCCTTCCTCACCCTAACTGCTTTTGGAGATTTGATGTCTTTGCCAGTCCAGCTGCAGTGGGTCAAAACCATTTTGCCTCATGATCCTATGGATTCTCACCCTTAGGGGGACTCCACCCAGATCCCTTCCGATCCTTCCTGTCTTCGTAGTTATAGTCAGTGATTCTGGAGTTTCCTTCCTGCAGGTATCGTTTATCTCCTTGAGCCGTGGACTGTTCATGGCTGTAACTCTAGGGCCTAGATTCTGGGTTCTTTATTTTTAAATTTTTTATTGTGAACTGAATTAGGGTTTACAGAATACATCAGTTTTCCATTCAACAACTCATACACATTACGTTCATGTCATTGATCACAGTTCCAACAGAGTAACACCGCTTATCCCACTTCCTCCGTTTCCCGTTTCCATTCCTCCTTCTGAACTTTGTCCTTGGATAAATACTACCTGTTTGATCCCATATGGTTGATTAGTTTAAGGTGTGTGTACCTTCCGAGCATTATTTTTTTTCCCCTTATAGACCTGCCTATTTGTTTGATTGTAGTCCTGGTGTGGCGCTGTGGGTTAATGTGCTAGAATGCAATGTCGGTTTGAGCCTCAAGGTAGGCGGTTCTAGCCCACCAACCGCTTCTTGGAAACCCTATACAGGATCGCTGAGAATTGGAACTGACTTGACGGCACTTAACAATTCTTTGGTTGGAAATTGAGCCTTCAGGATGAGTTCAGTTCCAGACCTGAAAAGGCCATAGTTTTAGGGGTTCCAGACTAATCAGACTAGATTTGTGTGTGTGTGTGATTTTGAGATTTGTTCCACATTTTCCCTCTCCCCCTCCCCGATCCAGGACTTCTAATACCATCTTTTTCTAGTGGAGACTGAGGTTAGTTTGGTTCGCTATTCAATTTCCTTAATTCTTCTTTCCTCAGGACAGGGACAGACCAATAGTTGCACTTTAGATGACCACTCACAAGCTTTTAAAACCCCAGTGGTAACCCAACAAAGTAGGATGTACAAGACTATATCTTGTCAACTGACCAAGGTATCCCGAGACTATCGATGCTTCTGAGCCCTCAGGCCCAATGACTCATTCCCTCAAAGTGTTTATATCTAGCAAGTTTTCATAACTTTGGTCCCTGTATGCTCTATTATATT